CGCTTGAGGCGCCGCAGAACTTCCCGACGTTGCTTGAAGCGTGTCCACCATAGACTTTGCATGTAAACCTGCTGCTCCTGACGCTGAAATCGCGTTCGGTGTGAACGCACCATAATACTCTACCCTAGCCTGGTTAAAAACCAAACCCTCGTCCTTCACTTTGCTTCGTATGAGGGTCTGGACTCTCGGCTATAGAGAAGCGATTCTTGCTGGAGGCGTGGCCTCTGCTGAAGTTTAAAATGATAGGATCGGTTGGCCGCGACGTATGCCAGCTCCACTGTGAACGAGGCTAAGCTAAGAAGCTAACCGGATATCGCGTGTGCTGTAAACAACCCTACCGAGAGGAGAAAAGCACTGAGCCGAACAGACTATAAATGAGAGCTGCTGCTTTGTCAGACACRTTTAATTTAATTTGGAAGCCTTATCAACACGGACTGGCTTCATTCACTTCCTCCACTGCCATTGCTAAACAAGCAGACACTGAGCAGAAAATCGATGTTGTTCAAAACTCCGCTTTCTGTTTGCTGATTGGTCCAGGTGAAATGAACTACAAGTAGACACTGCGCAGAAAATCGACGTTCTGTTCTCTGATTGGCCCGAATGAAATGCTCCCAAAGAAATCCTTGTTTATGGGAGAAGTCCCAGACGGAGCAATGAAGGAAGGAAAACTAGGATTGAGCGGAACTGCGTAGGAAGGCAAGGGCCAGGCTAACTCTACCCCAGCCCTATTAAACTGAGGAGAGAGCCGGCCGCCTCCATGTGGGCATCCTCATAATTAAACGCGCGAATCTTGTTTAGTTTTATTTGCGACACAACAATGATAATGGACTACTCCAAACTTGAAGGAAACGTACCAAAGTCTGTACCGAACTATCCAGCAGAATGACGTTTAAAACAAGAGAGCAGGACGACAGAACGGTTAGCTAACGTTAGCTTCTTATTGTAGAGTTTAACTCCGTGTGAWAGAAAAAAAAGTTACAGTTGCTACAAATCATTAAAGGCACAGTGTGTAGGATTTTGTCAATTCTTTTAGCCAAAATTGAGATAATCACTAATGACAATAATAAAAAAACATGTCTAATCATTGCAGACAAAGACCTTGTTTTGTTATTTTTACCTTTATAAAAAGCTGTTTATATCTCCATGGTCGCGGGTCGCCACTACAGGCAGCCGCCATCTTGACTACGAAGGCTCATGAAGGACAAACTGCGGTGGCGGCGTCAAAAACGGTTTTAGTTGTAATCCCATAAATGTAATGTTTGTTGTCTGTCATTGTAGCTGGGATAATTTTACTTATTAAAGCTCATAATCTTACCACTTGAAACATCACTAGCCCTGAAGCTGCTGGTAGACATCGCGGTTGGAATTATCAAAGGTTTTTGACACCTGAGAGACACCGTAGCAACTCCTTTGTGTTTGGAAGCGGGGGGTGGGGGCGGGGGGAGGACCAGGGAGGATGATTAAACCACTAGATGTCACTGAAAACAACAAATCCTACACATTGTGCCTTTAACGTGCAGTTAATCTCATATGTGTGACGTAACCCGGCCAGTGAACAAATCAAATGAACAGTAACTGACGTCAAATCATGGTGAGCAGCCACAGGGAATGCAAACAATCAATTGTACTCGTTTGTATTCTCACGTCTTTCAGGGATATTTTATTTTGTTTATAGTTGGTTTTTGAGTTAATCTGTCAGTGTTCAACACAGCTGGCACAACGTATTGTTAAAATAATACTGTACTTTTTTTAGCATGCAAAAAATAGCTTTCATGTTATAGAAAGACTTGATTCAAGAGAAATGTCAGGTTTTTTAGGAAATGGCCGCTGATCAATTAATCGTAAGTCGAACAACTTTAGATTAATTCATTAATCGATAACTTGCATCCCTAATATTTACTGTCCTTTTGGCTCTAAAAGTCTAGCTGTAGTGGCTCAGTTCTTCTGGCCTTTGTGTTCCTTCTGTCTTAGTCTCAGAGAATGTGGTTGGGAGTCAGGGCGATGGGATCCCAGCCCCGCAGAAGATGCTCTTCCCAGGGAACAAGCTTACTCTTAAATGGGAGCGTGTGTACAGGGTGGGAGCTGGCCTTCACAACCTGGGAAACACCTGCTTCCTCAACTCCACCATCCAGTGTCTCACCTACACCCCGCCACTTGCCAACTACTTGCTGTCAAAGGAGCACAGCCGTGCCTGTGAGTATTTAACTCTCACAGCGGTACTCTTAAATATTCTTGTTTTGAGCGCTGTTTTAAAGCACATGTTTGTGTTTTCAGGTCACCAGTCAGGCTTTTGTATGATCTGTGTAATGCAGAACCATATTATCCAAGCCTTTGCCAACACAAGCAATGCCATTAAGCCTGTGTCCTTCATCAGAGACCTAAAAAGTAAGACCATTTTCTTTGAACACTCCGAGTCTGTCTGATGRTTGGTTTTAACGTGGGTTGCTGTGAGGCGACAATGTGTCCCATGTGACAACAAGCTGTAGTAACTGCAGTACATAAGTAGAGCAGTCAGACTGCAGGTAGTGAGTGAATACCTCGTTAGAGACGAGGGGAGAACTGCACCTTGACATACTGCGCGGAAGTCTGAAAAGCCTGCCCCCTCCACTTCTTTCTGCTTCTTTCATACTTGCTGCTGCAGTCGTGCCTTTACCTCCAGAGCTGCTCTTTCTGTCCCCCCCACCCCTTCTCCCATCACCTCCTCCCTCCCTCCTTCCCTGATGCCCTTCTGTCTCCTTGTGACTGCGGGCTTAAAGGAGCAGCTTTAGCACAAAAATCTACAAGCCCACTGCTTCTCTGTTCTTCCGTCAGGGCTCAAACGTAATCTGTTTGATCAGCWCAACCTCAAATAAAGAAAACTGTCTGCGTTTGTTGTGTKTTTTTTTTTTTAGAAGTCACATTTCTTTACCCTAATAAGTGCCTGGAATTGGTCATATGTGCTGGGTGTTTTGTTTCTTTTTCCCCACTCTAGCTTGACTTATCTTTGGTGAGTAATTATTTTGTGCTGGGAATGCGGTGATGACCACACCAAAGTACTACCCAGCTTAACCTCTCCAGTTTTCCATTAGGAAATCACAGAGGGACAAAGATCTTACAGCTGCATTAGCTCTGATGCAGGACTTTAGCTGTGGATGAGATGCCAGTAAGCTGAAGTTACTGATGAAAAGCTTTTTAGAAGATGCAGCTGCATCTCTAAGAACGTTGAGATGCTAATGGAGAAATGTGGCTTTAAGTGCCCATTAGAACCTCCTCCAAACCTCATGACATATTAACTGATCCTACATTAATATATCTGCATGAATAAATTCTTAAGGCTTTAAGCTACTGATTGGAAGTTCATTTTATAAAATACAGCATGTGTTTTTCTATTTGTTTCCCACAGAAATTGCTCGACATTTTCGCTTTGGAAGCCAGGAGGACGCTCATGAGTTTCTGAGGTACACTGTCGATGCCATGCAGAAAGCCTGTCTCAATGGCTACCCAAAGTAAGACTTAAAGCTTCATTAATGTTATAGTTCTCAGAACTGCTGAGTGGTTTATAACTTGTTTTAATCCTGTTTTTTTTAGGCTCGATAGGCAAACGCAGGCCACAACGTTGGTGCACCAGATCTTCGGAGGTTACCTCAGGTCAAGAGGTATTGACTTTTTACACAAATGGTAGTTTTTAGAGCAGGGGTGCCCAAACATTTTCCCTGAGGGGGCCAAAAAGAAAATCTATCCATGGCTGCGGGCCAAATGCAGTTATATAA